TATTTTGACCTTAATCAATTCTTCAATTAGATTATGGAGGTGTTGGCATTCCTCTGTCTCGTGTTCGAGGTCTCAATGGTATGTATAATATCTATTTGGGTCTTGAAGGTAGCTCTTAGCCTTCATTGGTGGTAACTTATTAAAATACTCATTATTCTGAATGGCTTCTATTAATTCTGCCATTGAGACCCTTATACGAATCAATTAGGGAAGTTCTTGGGTCAGAGTTGGTCTTCTCATATAGTGATGTTTTGCTTGTCATTCGAGGCATTATATCTTACCTTATTACAAGAGAGTTCTTCTTTCTAGCTTCTGAACATCTGATTAAATGAGCTTTGGTTAGTGGATACATGTCTTCCAACCTTCTCTAAGGATGTTTCTCTTAGGAGGGTGTTGGTTAGACTTTTATGCCCTGGGAGTGAAAAGTGAGTTGTACTCTTTTGTTGATAAAAGATTGTTGGCAAGCTCAAGTAACCCAGCTAGAATATTTTAGCCTTGTAATCCCAATGCATATTGGAATGGTCCCTCTTTAAGGCCTAGAGCAAGGGCTTCGTGAGTGAACATAAGCTCCATTTCTCATACTTCTAACATTTCTCTTTGGAAGCGGGTAAAAAAGTTATGTAAAAACTTGCCTTGCTTCTGATAAAATTGAAAGAGGGTCTATGAAATATTGTGTGGTTTCTACGCACTAGAAAACTATGTGATGAACATTCTTTTGAAGCTAGTGTGACCCTCTCTTGAGCTAGTGTGCCTTTGATGACTTCCATTACTTGTTCATTGAGCACGTTCGTTTGTTGTATTATGAATTCTCGAGTGCAGTCCATGATGTCTATAATTTTAGGATGTCAAAGTTCTTCTCCTTGAGTTACTCTTCTTCTTTCTTGTGACATAATCCATGCTCACTACACTTTTTAGGGTGTTTAACCTAGATTTGCATCTGAACCACACCCAAGAAATAGAGTGCAAACGGAGAGAGAGAGAGGGAGACAAAGAGAGAGAAAGCATGTTGACGAAGTGATGAATTAGGTATTTTTCCTATATGATTCTAACAACCACCCTTTTTACATTTAATACTCTTCTATATATATAGAGGACTAATAACAATATAAAATGACAATTATACTTCTATTGCTTTTTAAGTATTTGACTTCTTATCTATTGATTCCATGCTGCTCGATCAATAACTATCTATCGGTTTGTCTTTTAGCAGACTGATTTTTCCTTGAGTTATCATTGAGTCGAATGACTTATAACTCGGTCGGTATCTGGATCATCTTTTCTTGTTCAACTACTTGGATGTCATATGGTCTTTTAGTTCGTCCACCTTTTGGGTCAGTCACCCGATAAATATTGGAGCTTTGGTTCATCCATTTCCGGGGGCTAACATCTCGTATCAAAACCTAACACAATAAAATGTGACAACCTTTTGGGTCAGTCACCCGATAAATATTGGAGCTTTGGTTCATCCATTTCCTCTTTAAGGCCTAGAGCAAGGGCTTCGTGAGTGAACATAAGCTCCATTTCTCATACTTCTAACATTTCTCTTTGGAAGCGGGTAAAAAAGTTATGTAAAAACTTGCCTTGCTTCTGATAAAATTGAAAGAGGGTCTATGAAATATTGTGTGGTTTCTACGCACTAGAAAACTATGTGATGAACATTCTTTTGAAGCTAGTGTGACCCTCTCTTGAGCTAGTGTGCCTTTGATGACTTCCATTACTTGTTCATTGAGCACGTTCGTTTGTTGTATTATGAATTCTCGAGTGCAGTCCATGATGTCTATAATTTTAGGATGTCAAAGTTCTTCTCCTTGAGTTACTCATCTTCTTGCTTGTGACATAATCCACGCTCACTACACTTTTTAGGGTGTTTAACTTAGATTTGCATCTGAACTACACCCAAGAAATAAAGTGCAAAAGGAGAGAGAGAGGGAGACAGAGAGAGAGATAGCATGTTGACGAAGTGATGAATTAGGTATTTTTCATATATGATTCTAACAACCCCTCTTTTTACATTTAATACTCTTCTATATATATAGAGGACTAATAACAATATAAAATGACAATTATACTTCTATTGCTTTTTAAGTATTTGACTTCTTATCTATTGATTCCATGTTTCTTGATGAACAATTATCTATCGGTTTGTCTTTCAGCAGACTGATTTTTCCTTGAGTTATCATTGAGTCGAATGACTTATAACTCGGTCGGTATCTGGATCATCTTTTCTTGTTCAACTACTTGGATGTCATATGGTCTTTTAGTTCGTCCACCTTTTGGGTCAGTCACCCGATAAATATTGGAGCTCTGGTTCAACCATTTCCGGGGGCTAACATCTCGTATCAAAACTTAACATAATAAGACGTGGTGATTCAGTGTACTAGTATATACGATGATCAAGCAATGCTAAACTTGTGTTGTCTAGGGAGTGAGTGTCTTATTCTCCTTCTGGGGCAAAAAGAGCTTTCTCAGTGTTCAACACAATCATTCTTGATGAATTATGAGACATTGCTAGTCACAGTAGTGGGACCCTCTCTTGAGCTAGTGTGCCTTTGATGACTTCCATTACTTGTTCATTGTGCACGTTCGTTTGTTGTATTATGAATTCTCGAGTGCACTCTATGATGTATATAATTTTAGGATGTCAAAGTTCTTCTCCTTGAGTTACTCATCTTCTTGCTTGTGACATAATCCACACTCACTACACTTTTTAGGGTGTTTAACCTAGATTTGCATCTAAACCACACCCAAGAAATAGAGTGCAAAAGGTGAGAGAGAGGGAGAGAGAGAGAGAGAGAGAGAGAGAGAGAGAGAGAGAGAGAGAGAGCATGTTGACGAAGTGATGAATTAGGTATTTTTCCTATATGATTCTAACAACCCCCATTTTTACATTTAATACTCTTCTATATATATAGAGGACTAATAACAATATAAAATGACAATTATACTTCTATTGCTTTTTAAGTATTTGACTTCTTATCTATTGATTCCATGCTGCTCGATCAATAACTATCTATCGGTTTGTCTTTTAGCAGACTGATTTTTCCTTGAGTTATCATTGAGTCGAATGACTTATAACTCGGTCGGTATCCGAATCATCTTTTCTTGTTCAACTACTTGGATGTCATATGGTCTTTTAGTTCGTCCACCTTTTGGGTCAGTCACCCGATAAATATTGGAGCTCTCGTTCATCTTTTAGTTCGTCCACCATATGTTGATCTTTGGTTGATTGCTAGACCGAAACCCATCCTTGGGATATATTCATTCATTCTAATTGGCGACACATATTTTATTCAAAACCGTTTGATCCGCATGCGTCCGATCAAAGATATTTTTATTATATAATATACATTGGTGAGATTCTTTCAGTTGGGTTATAAATCATAATTTCTTTTTATTTACTAATTTTCACATAAAACTATAATATCTCTTATCAAACCATTCCCTTGCTTATGCTTGGGTTAGGATTTCACACAAAACTCGACATTAATTTCTTAATCACTATAATTTTTCTTGCAAGCAACATGTTAAATAAGTATTTATTAATGAATAATTACTTGCTATTTTTTTTTAACTATAAGGATGCACAAATCAAACAAAATATATTATTTGATTTTTTTTCTTTCTTTTATAAAAAAGAATTTGGGTGATTTACGTACATACCTCACAATTTTTATGTCTTTACATTATAACATCTAAATTTTAGTGTATATATATATATATATATATATATAGGTTCGAACGGGGATTGTCCGTGAACGACGCCGAATAGGAACAAGAAGCCGCTACGGGAATTGTCAGCGAGAAAATATATATAGAGGGATTCTATTACTAAAATTTTATAGAATGATACATCATTTTCATGTATATTGCCCAAATAATTTTTTTTTCTCAAGACTTTACAAAAAAAAAAAAAAGAATTTCTCTCATACTCTGTTTTATTCATTCAACTCGCAACATATTGTAATTTAGAGTCATAGTATCTGTCTTGTAACAAATTTAGAGCAAGATTTAACCTTAATCTTGAGTGATGATCGTTTTTGAAAAAATAAAGCCGCATATTTAATAAATCTATATTTCATGGATTTTGCTCTTTATCCTTAATTTACTAAATCCCATGAATCAGCGAATTTAATAAATTTTGGATGGGATTTTGCACAAAAAGGAAGATGTGAAGTTGCCTTCCTCTAGAAGAAGGGAAGTGGAAAGAGGAGAGAGATGGGATTTTGTGGTCTATGTTTATCACGGTCCCCTTCCTAATTATCATTGAGTGCAACTATATCATTTGTGTTCAGTCATTAAGGTGATGGTTTTTTGGTGATATCATTAAGCTAGGAGGGGGGAGTGAAGCAGGTAAGGGGCTAGGAGGGGGGAAGTGAAGCAAATAAGGGTTCGAGCAAAGAAGGTGAAGGGTTTCACCCAAAGTGGAGAGGGGAAAAATGGATAGATTTGTGATTTTATTTTATTTTCTGTTTAGGTAAATCTTCTTATTTTAATTGAGTAATAACTAATAATTAATTATTAAGTTAATAACAATTAAACTAATTTTGATAAAATTATTTAATAGTTAATTAATGAATAAAAAACAATTTAATTTATATATTTTTAATAAAATTGTAACTAATTCTTAATGAATGACTAATTAATTAATAATTAATTTTTACTTATTATTTAATTTGTAATTAATTTAATAAAACTTTTTAATCAATAATCAATGAATTTAGTAGAAAATTATTTATTAGTTACCATAATTAAAATAAAAGTTCAAATTGATTTAATTGAATTATTCAAATTGATTTAATTGAATTTAATAATTATTTTTTATTTTAGTGATAAAATAATACATTTTTAATTCTAATAAATATAATAAATTTTTAAATTTTGATAGAAGTTGTGAAAGAATTTCACAGAATTTAATTGGATTTATCAAATTTTATAAAATTTTGGATTTAACTCTTACAGAATTTATTAAATTCGGATTTTCCTTAAATATAATCCGTTGTCATGCCGCTCCCTAGGGTTTCCGATTTCCAGAAGTTTGCTTCTTTAGTTTGGGACGATCAATACTTGTCCTTTCTACTGATACTCTTCTAGTCTGAAGTCACCTATACGTCCACTGCTAACATTTTTCTTCACTGAAATGAATGGTAGCCTTTGAGTTGTTGAAAATATGTTCAAAATCTGATTGATTTATTGTTCGTTCACCACCACATCTACTTATCCTCCATTGTTTTCCGCAGGCGGGCAGCCTGAAAGAGAGGAGAGGGTCTCCATGGAACTGACCGACGAGTTGTTGAAAAGCATGGAAGTTGGTATGGCGTTCAGGGATTATGTAAGTGCTTCTCTTGATTCTTTTTGCATGTATTGTTACTGTTCATGTTCGATTTGTTCGTTGCATTTCTTCGTCTTGTGTTTTTTTGCTTATTCGTCTGTTAAAGTTTCCCTTCACATGCTTCTGGTTATTTCTTAATTTCCCAAGTCGGTTTGAATTGCCACAGTTCCTTAACAACAAAACGGGGTTTTGGAACTCTTCGTAGACTTTATTATGTTAGGCTCACCCTTGTTTAGTTAATGCTTGTGATCAACCTTCCAATGAAAGAGTTTAACGGTTTATTTGGTGGTCTTGTGTTTTCCAGGTGAATAGTTTGATATTTTTTGAAACATGTGCCAAGTGTTGCGAGAAAGGAAGTTGAGGTGGAGTTGTTGCGCAGGTTTTGGTCTTATCTGAAGACTACTGATGAGTTGAGAAAATGATATATATTCGGGATAGGAGTGTGAAATAAGTTCAGTTTCATTGCATTCTCCTTGTGATATAGAAATACTCCCCTTTTAGATAAATTATGAGCAACCCTTGTAGTTTTTTGAACCAATTAATAATGGAGTTTTGTTAGACATGGAGTAATGCTTGAGATGGTTATTAACTTGCTGATTTGTTCAACGCTAGTTAGCTTGACATCAATATTAGCACCAATTGGGTTCAATAATATAGCGCTCTGGAAGAAAGAAAGGCCGATTATGGGAGACCCAAAATGCTATTGGGCTCATGTGATGCCGGCTTATAGGCATAGATTGTTTGCGTTGCTTAGTTTACTAGGAGGGATTCTTAATTTTGGAAGGTTATGCTATTTAGGAACATGTATTATACCACAGAGTATGTTTTTGATATCCTCATATTTGGCGAATTGTTCTTCTTTACTAGTTTCTTATTATATTCTGTTGCACTTTTTTTACAAGCTCAATATATTAAGTCAAAATTTCCAAAAAAAAAAAACTTTTCTCGCAACATTGGTATTAGAGTAAGAAAACCTTAGCCATCCAATGATTTATCCCATCTTTTATCTTGCTATATCTCCCTTGTCAAAACCCTTACTGGTTTACTGCTTTCACCCATGCTCGAACACTTTTGACCACACTTGCCTTGCTTGACCTCTCATTACTATTCCCATATTCACACAAGTAAGGGTGAATCCAGGTTGAAGGGTTGGATTTGGACATGACCGGAAGTTGACTCGATTAGGATATGCTTGACCAAATTCTAACATGTATTTTATGTGTGAAAATGTTTGACCCAAATATAACTCCATTTGAACTTGCCTAATGAGCGTCTGACATGTCTTCTTTTCTATTTATTTTATGAACTATATAATTTACTTAAATCAACATGATCTAATTAGCTCTAACATGATCAATTTAATTCTAAAACATGTTTGTCTATTGTAACAATATGTTTCTAGTTTTTTCGAAGCCCATACCCGAATAATAATCGAGTTAAGTTTGAGTTGATTTAGGGTTGTTAGGGTCAATCTGAGCCTGACTATCAAATACTAATCCGATCTACAATTTTGACTTAAAGCATCTCAAATTGACACGAATTTAAGACCATAAAAATTAAAGGACTGGCTTTTTCGTTGTTGTCAAGAATTCTCAAGTTATTTTACTATTGGAACTAAATCCCACAATTAGATGTGAGAATTCCAAGCCTAGTTAACCCAACTCAAATTTCTCACATAAATATAATTTTTTTTTATTAATTTAACATTTTCTATCCAATTTCTATTGCCTTCTGGTTAAAGCATCTACCCAATTTCTCTCTTAGCATATTTTGTTGGACAATCTTGCGTGTAGGAACAATCAGCCACAATGGGCTTAATATTCCTGCACTATGGCTTGAATTTAATCCAGCCAAGCCCACCTGCCTTGATTTCAATCAAAATGTCAGATCTAACATACAAAAACAACAACAACAAAGCCTTAATCCCACTCGTGGGGTCGGCTACATGAATCCTTTTTCTCCATTGTGTCATATTTTCATTTATTTCTAATAAATTAAGATCATTTTTTATATAATAAACCCAAGTCTTCCTAGGTCTACCTCTGTTTTTCTTAACATAAGTCGAATCTAAAACATCTACTCTTCTAATCGGATCATTAGATGGTCGACACTTAATATGATTAAACAATCTAAGACGACTTTCTCTAATTTTGTCCATCACAGGAGCTGCACCAATCCTATCACAAATATATTCATTTTGCATTTTGTCTCTAAGTGTAAAGCAACTCATCCACCTAATCATTCTCATCTCGACAACACTTAACATAGTATTATGCTTCTCTTTTAAAGGCTAACATTTAGCGCCATAGAGCATTGCAGGTCTCAACACCGTCTTATAAAATTTTCTTTGCGGTCAGATATAATATGAAGAAGTTAAATAAAAAATAGAAAAACTGATGATGAATAGTTTTTCTTGAATCAAAAGAGGTAGTATTCCACCAAATAAATAATTCCTTTATCAATAAGTTTATGGTACAACACTTCCTCTAGGCTTCAGTTGTGCCTTCACAATATTGTTGGATGAGAGGTGACCTGTAGAAAACAACATGCACCCCAAAGCAATAAAAGGCTCAAAGAGATTAATGTTCTATTTGATTTGCTAAAAATGAAATGCAATGTACAAAATTTGCAGAGTACTGTGATTACATTGTATTTGAATTACTTTTGGGTTGTTTGGTTCATTGTAAAATAAATGTAGGAATATTTTTGTAAAAATAAACTGTTATATATTTTTGTTTGGTCTGAAGTAAATTGAAAATAATATATTTCAAAATATTTTTTTTTTAGGTCAGTGGCAATGGGGGGTCGACAGTGGTGGGTTAGTGGGCATCATGGCAGACGACCGACAACAATGACGGAGGCGGGCTACCTGCGGCGGGGGTAGGATGCGGGAGGCGGACGACGACTGTGGCTGGTGGTGACAGGTGGGCGAAGGTGGAGTTGGTGGCGACAGGCGGGCGGCGGTGACGACACGTGGCTATGAATTGAGACGGGGCGCCCTACGGTGGCAGCGTGGGTGGCCG